ATGCGGCCCCCACAAGTACTCGGCACCATTGGAGCGATCGCGGGCAAACCTGCGGGGGGTGATAGAGTTTTGGGGCTGCTACCTATGACGCTACGCAGATGGTCACGGATGCGGTCTGGAGTGGTAGAGTCCTGGACGCAGCAGCTGGAGGATCATTGGGACACGGCGCTACGTGGATCCTCGGCACTACGAGCGGCATTACTCAGAGCCACGCTCGATGAAACAGGGCACACACTGGGAATTGTACACGCGGGGTTGTTCGCCGACATGGAGCAGTTCTATGATTCATTGGATCTTGGGTGGCTGATAGACACGGGGATCAAGCTGGATTTCTCACCGACAGTTATGGCAATGGAAGTGGAAGCGTTCTTGGGGCCACGGCATCTCAAGCACACGGAATGGATAGGGCCCAGAATCAACCCGACGTGCTCGATCGTCGCTGGTTCGGCATAGGGCACCAGGCTCGCCAAAGTTTACCTCTTCCCCTTCTTGGAAGCAGCAAAGAAGAGAGTGCAGGCAGCGGGCTTGTGGTCGTACGTGGACGACGCGAATGGACGCGTCGAAGGCACGGAGGAAATGGTTGAGAAGCAGGCGTTAGAGTTGGCTGACGAGTGCATACACCAGGCCGCTCAGCGCAACCTGACGATCTCGCCGAAGACGGTGCTAGTGGCGTCGAACCCCAAGTTGCGAAGGCGCATCTGGCGCAAGCTCCAACAGCGCGGTCTTCCAAGCAAACAGCAAGCAGACATGGTGGACCTTGGCACCGACGTCAGTGGCATGGGCAAGCGAACACAAAAGAAAGCCAGAGCAAGGCAGCGCAGGGCCAAACAGAGAGCAGACAAGATCCTTCGAATAAGACGAATGGCGACGAAGGTTGCGAAGATCACCCAAGGCTTGTTCACCACGGGCGTTTCCCCGCAGGAGTCGTACGGGCACGAGGTCTGGGGCATCGCACCTAGCCGCATATTACAACTACGAAGGATGGCAATGCGATCGGCCGCTGGCACTGGACCTGGGAGGTGTCTATCCACGGGCATGGCGGTACTGCACCACCTCAAGGACCCAGGCATCAGCTTACGGAGGCAGCTAGTCAGCGAATGGCTACAACAATGGATGCACCACCCTGAGCTCCACAGACGAGTACGCCAAGTATGGGGCCCAACGTACCGCAAGCTGGTCAGAGCAGGATCTAAGATGTGGCGCAAGGTGAATGGACCAGCGGCGGCAATACAAGCAACTTTGATCGCGGCAGGGTGGAAGCCAGAGCAGGCAGCGCTCTGGAAGCGACCTACGCAGCAAGGAGACGAACAATGGCAGCTCCCTTTCATTGACGACGACGGCAAGTGCGACATCGATGCCATAGAATATACTCAATTGCTAGAAGACCTCGAGTACGACCTAGACGCAGCACGGCGGGCACAAGCTGCAACACATTTACATGGCGAAGATTTACTACGCGGATGAGATATTTTTTGCATATCAGCAAGGAGCAGAAAAGGTTCAGCCAGCGCGCAGAGTGGCAGGACTGGGCGCTCAACAATGTGGTGGTTGCAGGGGGACAATGGACACGACAAAGACAGATACAAGCCGGCTGCGAATGCGACACAAATATCTGCTCGAGGTGCAAGCAGGAGCCCGAGACCCTTTTCCACCGCATCTACACTTGTGCTGCAAACACAGGGCACGAGACCTACGAGAAGACGGACTACTTGGTGCCCAAAGCGATGGCAGGAGTGGAAGCGAACCCCACCCTTTGGCTGCGCGGGATCCCGCCAAGAGACTTCACTCACCCAGAAGTCCCCGACATTGATAGACAGGACTACGTCAGGTTCGGCAATTACGAGGAGGCTCGAATACCTGGACGGCCGCTGTATCTCTTTGGCGACGGATCAAGAGGCACCCACGGTGCAGACCCACGAAGGCGGCGAGTTGGCATAGGCGTGGCGGCTATGAAGATGATCGATGGCAAGTGGCACATGTCTGCAGGTACGATGGCAGATTTACCAGGACGGCGACAAACAGTACCAAGAGGTGAACTCATGGCGTTCGCGATCGCGATAGAGGAAACCCGAGGAGACATTGTTAACGTCACGGACCATCATCCACTACTCAACGCGTGGTCGAGAGGTAGGGCACACGACCCAGGTAGAGGTAAGAATGCGGACATATGGGCACGTATCAAGCGTGCAATCATGGACACAAACCCCAGGCAGATCGAAGTGGAGTGGACCCCCTCACATCAGGACGAGGAGGAGGCAGAGCTGATCAACCCGATCTACGCGATGGGCAATGGTTTCGCAGACGCTCTAGCGACAATTGCAGCGGAGGCATCATGGGACAGAGTGAGCAGGCCCCTACCTCGCACTGATGAATGGGACGCGATCTGCGCACACGTCAGACTTCGAGCACGGCAGGCGTTGGCAGACACAGCGAGCGCGGATCCCTGGTGCGCAGAGACTCCACGACCAAGCCCAAGGTAAAGCGAGACAAGCAGCAGGATATCATCAGCAGCGCCAAGCAGCACGACATGGTCAAGCTCAAAAATAAGTGGTTCTGTACAGCGTGCAGACAGTATATCGCAGTGGACGCCCTGAACGAGTTCGCGAAGACGGAGCGCAACGCCTCGTTCACCACGGCGAACGAGATCGTGGAGGTCAAGGGCGACAGGTTTATGGGCAATGGGAAGATACACCAGAGTCATGCTATCAGTGAATGGGCTCGGCATGGTCTGCTTTTCTGTGCACGGTGTGCGGCGTATGGCACGACCATTGGTAAGAGGTTGAGGGAGCCGCGTGACGAGACGATCCCCAAGTACGGGCAAGATGCGCTCAACAGGATACGAGATGGGCGATACCCTGGCTATAAAGCACCACCGAAGGCGGCACAAGAGGCGGAGTTGGCACGGACTGTGAGGGAGTTGCGGGATCAGGAGCGCCTGGCCCCGCATGAGGAGCAAGCCCCCTCGGTGCTGACAAACCCCCCGCCAGAACCACATCCACAGCCTCGACCTAGAAGGACAGTGAAGCGACGACCAGCAACGAGATGCACACCACCAGCAGTACATCCCGCGGATAGCGCAGACGAGGACCAGCTTACTGCACAGCCCGAGACGAAGGCAGATTACGACGATCCAGACCTGCAGCGGGACCTAGACGATTTTTTTCAGATCCCCAGCGCGGTGAGGGGTTAGACCGCATAGTGCCCCTGCGTGGCGAGGGGTTCGGCCACGGCAGTCCCCAGCGCGGTGAGGGGTTAGACCGCAATGGTGAGAAAGACGCGGACTTATTGACCAACAGTGTGGTAGACAAGACCTCGCAACTAACAGAGCGGACCCACACCCTGGGAAACCGACAGGCTGAACGCGAAGGGGAGGGCTTGGCCCGCGGATACCACGTGAACCGCGAACACAGCGAGTGGAATAGTCGGGGGACCGCTCCCGACCCAGTGGGCGGTACCATCAAGGATGGGGACAGTGCGAGATTTGGCGTTCCCCCGCGCGGTGAGGGGTTAGACCTCAGCAGCAGAGATCCCCAGCGTGGCGAGGGGTTAGGCCACTTTCTCCCCCAGCACGGCGAGGGGCTAGGCCGCAGCAATGGGTCGACAGCGAGCTCGAGCAGGGTGCCACGGGCACCGACTGGCGACTACATCGAGCCAGAGCTGTATGACGGGTACGACAACGATGTTCCCCAGCACGGTGAGGGGTTAGACCGTGCCCGGCCCCAGCACGGCGACAGTGCGGGGCAATGCGACCCCCAGCGCGGTGAGGGGTTAGACCGCAGCAACCCCCAGCGTGGCGAGGGGTTAGGCCACCGACCCCAGCGCGGTGAGGGGTTAGACCGCTCCCTGCCCCAGCGTGGCGAGGGGTTAGGCCAGGTCCCTGACGAGCCCAGAGAGCATAACGCGGACTACGTCACCGACATGGTGGTAGACAGGACCTCGCAACTAACAGAGCGGACCCATACCCTGGGTAACCGACAGACTGAACGCGAGGGGGAGGGCTTGGCCCGCGGATACCGCGTGAACCGCGAACACAGCGAGCGGCATTGTCAGGAGACCTCGCCCGAGCTAGAAGACAGCAGCATCAAATATGGCAACAGTGCGAGATTCGGCGTCCCCCCGCGCGGTGAGGGGTTAGACCGCAGCAGCAGACCCCAGAGGGACAAGGGGTTAGGCCACAGGCCCCAGCGCGGTAAGGGAGTCGACCGCACCGATCCCCAGCGTGGCGAGGGGTTAGGCCACTCTACTCCCCAGCGCGGCGAGGGGTTAGGCCGCAGCAGTGGAATGGCAGCGAGCCCGAGCACGTTGCCACGGGCACCGACTGGCGACTATATCGAGCTAGAACTGCATGCCGACGATGACGACGAGGTCCCCCAGCACGGTCAGGGGTTGGACTCCACCCGACCCCAGCACGGCGAGAGTGCAGGGCAAGGCGACCCCCAGCGCGGTGAGGGGTTAGACCGCAGCAGCATTCCCCTGCGTGGCGAGGGGTTAGGCCACCGACCCCAGCGCGGTGAGGGGTTAGACCGCTTCCTGCCCCAGCGTGGCGAGGGGTTAGGCCACATAATTCCCCAGCGCGGCGAGGGGTTAGGCCGCAGAGGGTTTGCTTCGAGTTCGAGCTGGTCGGCATTGGTACCGCCCGCCGACTACATCGAGCTGGAGCTCTACGATGAGGACGACGAGGCGCCAGGCCCGTCGCCCGCCAGCGGCGTGACACAGGCGCAGACCTGTGCGCCTGTCGCCGCCGCCGCCGCCCGCTCGCCGTGCGAGAACCCCAGAGTGCCCGCGACCTTGGCACCTGGGAGTGGGCCCCCGCTGGGAAACGGGCCAGCGGGCGGCGGTGAAAGAGACTGATGGATTAACCACGGGCTCGCCATGTCGCGCTGGGGCCTCGGTGTCAGCGCGGGGTGGCGACTCTAGTGGCGTGCCTAACCTAATCCTCTTCCTCATCATCACCATCCTCCTGCGTGCTCTGGTATCGCTCTGCTTCCACGTCTTCAGTTCCCAACCCTGCTGCGAAGTTGGCTCCGCAATTCCTGCTGCTGCCGCTGCTGCTACTGCACCCTTTGGCGCTACAGTGTTTGTACGGGGGGGTGGGCCAAGGGGCTTGACCCTTGCTGTGATCTTCAGGATGCGGCCGAACCCTCCAGGGAATGGAGAGCAAGATGCCTCAGTCATGGCTCTAGCAAAGAAAGCATTGGGGAGCAGGAAGACAGGAGAGGAGAAGGGCACACACACACACACACACTGTTAATCGCAGCTTAGGCGATCGCATACCGCGACCGTGGCCTAAGCGCGGGCGCTGCTAGGTAGGCGAATTGTACAAAAGCCGGCGGGAGACAGAAGAGGGCGAACAAACACATCACCTCGCCTAATTCGGTACACCTCACACGAATCCTGCCTCACAGGGAGCTTCACTAGCAGCCTCAATCGTCGCCGCCGCGGTCGTAAAGATTCGTTGCGCCAGTCGTCAAACCTTTCTCTCTGGACCACGAAAACGCTTGAACGATTCACGGAGCTCCCTACGGGGCACAATCCTGGCTAGAGGTGCGCCGACACGGGCGGGCGGGCGTATGTGGGCGCCCTCGCTGGATCTGCCTGCTCATCGGGCACCATCCGCGCAAAGGATGTGCCAACATCAATGGGTGGTGCCCTGCGGGCGCCTTCGCTGGACCGACCTGCCCGCCCCCCCGGTCTGCCCGCCCGTCCCTGACCCGCCGGCCCGCCTCTTGGGGTCCGCCGGGCCCGCCCGCTCGGCCCGTCCGTTTGGGCCTGCCGCACTGCCCGCCTGGCCGCCCAGGTCTGCCCGCTGGCCTGCCTGAAATCCACCTCCCCCGCCCCAATGTCGCGCCCGCACGACCCACCTGTTCAGGTCCTTCCGGCCCGCCAGCCCGGCCTGTCGGTTATGGTCTGGCCGCGCAACCTGCCCGTCAGGATCCGACGGTCACGGGTGGCATCCGAGACGCATTCCGGACCACCAAGATAGCCCCCACATTGCCCAAGATGGCCCAGGGTGGTCCGAGAGGCTCTTTGGGGAGTTTCTCGGGCCGTCTTGGGGGCACTCGGGGCCAGCCCAAGAGGTCCAAACAATTGGAAAGCCATTGTCTGCTCAATGGCATTCAGATGTTCGCCTTTCTTTCGGTACTACGCGCGTCCAGTGACAGCTCAAGGGGCCCCCACCCCCAGCCCAAAATGGCCCACTTGGCCTCAAGAGAATCCCAAGATGGAGGCCCAAGAACGGCCCGAAATGGCGCCAGCGGCGGCCCAAGACGGCTCAGAGAGGTCCCCAAGACGGCCTGCGAAGACGCCAAGCGGCCCCAGAGCCCACAAATAGCCCAAAAAACATTGACATTCTTCGAGACAACAAACAATTGCAATGCAATGCTCAAGGTAACGCTGGTGATGCGCCGTGCCAGGGGATGTGTTGTGCTGTGCTGTGATAAGTTGAAGTGTGCCATGCCGCGTTGAACTGTGCTGTGCTCTATTGCGTTGCGGATCAGGTCGTTCTTGGCATCCTAATCCTGACCGAACTGATATGTATTTGAAAAATTCGAGCTGTCTGGACACATGTCTCGTGCTGGTCGCAATCGAACCGCGCGGGGCGCTCGACTAGCTTGAGCTCGAGATCTGATTCAGTTCCGCGACGGGACGAGCCAAGAGGGGGCGACTCCGAACCGACGCGAAACGCACCGAGAGTGGATGGACCGAAACTCGACGAACCAAAACGCCACGACTTTCACCAATTCGAACCGATCCAAATCGAACCGAGACGAAGGTCGAACCGATCCAAATCGAAGCGAGACAAGACAAACCAAGACGAGTAGGCTTCGACTCACCATCCTGAAATTGCATGGCGTCGCTTGACGAGGGAGCCGCACTCCGAAGTGCCATGGCCCCTCGCAAAGAACTAGAGCCGCGATGTGGCGTAGATTGCTCCTGATACATGCTGTGCTGCACCGTGCTGCGTCATGCTCTGTTGATCTGTGCTGTTCTCTGTTGCGTTGTGGATCAAAACATCCTTGGCACACCAATATTGTCCGAACTGATCTGGATCTTAAGCTCAAGCTGCCTACGCGCAAGCTGCCTACCCGAAAGCTGGTTGCAGTCGTAACATGCGGGGCGTTCAACCAGCTCGAACTCAAGACGACGACCAGGCCCCCGCACGACACCTCCTCAAACAATGCAAAACCAGAGTTTTGCGAGAGGCATCATCAACACATGCTGCAGAGGGAGGCTTTCGCTGCAGGCGAGGCCCTCGCTCGAGACATCCTCAGCAAACGAAGTCGGAGAGAGGGGGGGAGGTGGGCGAGGAGGGAGGGGGAGGGGGGGGAACGAGAAGAGAAGAAGAAGGGAGGCACGCAGCCGAGATGCTGGCGCGTCTCGCCGAGGCCCCCGACGGAAGGCGGCACGGTCGCGGCAGCCCGAGCCAGCCATGGTCGAGCGCCTCAGGCCAGGCTCGGCAGTTCACGCATACTTTTTGCAGTGCGACTCTCCCAGCCCGAAAGCGGCCGACCAGAACGAGCAGAGCTGGTCTCTGTACTCCGTATAGCTTCGAAACATCTCGAAGAGGTGGGCGCCCCCATGGCACTTGCCCGTGAACACCCAATCACCTGCCACGGTGTACTTCTCGGGATATTTTGCAAGCATGTCTCTAAGCAGGTAGTTCTCAGCAACGGGCACCGTTTCGTCGTCCATGTTTTGGAGGATGTATACTGGCCTCATCGTGTCTGGCCCCGTTGGGAGCGTGTGCTCCGGAAGCTGCCAATCGAGGTCGACCCCCTTCTCCAGCGCCGCCTTCTTCACGGCGTCCCAGGTGGGGCCTATGAGAATGTCGCTCGCGAAGCCAATCCCCCACCCGTCGAGCGTCTGGCGGGCGCCGTGCTCAAACACCGACTTGGGCTTCCAGGGTCCGGAGTCCAGCCAGGCGGCCGGCACAGAGCCCTCGAGGCCGAACGCGATACAGGACACGAAGGAGCCCTTGGAGAACCCCATGAGCCCGACCTGCCCGGTGTCCCGAGGCCCGCCGAGGAGACCCTCGGGGTCCATCCTGGCGTAGTCCCAGGCGCCAAGCAGGTCGTAGGGGTACGCGTTGCTCCACTGGTAGACGTGCTCGGAGGTGTTGCCCGAGTAGCAGTGGTCCCGGAAGTTTGGCACAAGAACGCTGAATCCAAGGGAGCGGAGCATGTACGCTGCAAACTGCGGAAAGAGCTTGTTCGAGTTTGATGTGAAGCCATGCTGTAGCACGATTCGGGGCGCTGGTGACGCTGGCGAGTCGCCAGGCGCCGGCAGCCACCATCCTGCCAAATCGACTACACCGATGGGACTGCCATCGTAACTGGTTCCTGGGCGACTCTGGTAGGTCACAATACTCCCGTTGGCGTTCTTGTTAAAAGCGTCCATGTCCTCGAGGATACTGGCGTTGTAACAAGGGTGCGTACAACTCTGCGTGACCTCTTCATACCCACACCCCGGCCACCAGTTGTTAAAGGTGATGTTATCCATTGTCAAGCCCTGATGACAAAACTCCTGGACCTTGGTGTCGTTTATCGTGACGAAGACCGCAACGCCGCTTTCGGCTCCGATCTTCACGATGGCATAGAGCCCAAGGGCGAGCAAGAGCGCGAGCGAGCAAACGGTACACCCGCAACAATAAAGCGGGCATTTCCATGAGAGCCTTGGCTTTGGGGAGTCTTCGGCCGAAGTGCTCACCAATGGCTGCGCCGCCTCCAGACTGCTCGCATCGGCGACCTCGGCCATTGCGCCCTTCAGGCTGTTAGGAGCACGCGTTGTACAAGACAGGCCTAAACCTCCACCGCTGCAGCCGAAAAGGCCGACGTCAACACTGCTTGTGCCTCTTCTTCCTCGTGCTCCTCTTCTTCCTCGTGCTCCTCCTCCTGGAGCTTCGCTTGGAAGCAGCCGCGCGTGATCACGCGGACATTTGCGGCGCAGCAGGCGCTGGAAGAGCCCTGCCCAGGCACATGCTCCTCAGCAAATCCTGCAGAACGAGCGTTGCGTTCTAGACATCCCGAACACGCTCTCATGTTAGTGACTCGCCTAGGCGACCTGGACACGTGGAAATCACCATTTCGGTCGAGACATCCTCAACACATCCTCATGTTAGAGATCCGCCTGGGCGACCTGGAACAAGCGTAAGGAACACGTGGGTCCCTTTTCGGCCCAGAGCGGATCAAGCGCGAAAACACGTGGGCCCCTCACGTGACCAGGGCGGAACAAGCGTGAAAGCACGTGGGTCCCTTTCGTGCCAGACCGGATCAAACGTACAAACACGTGGGCGCCTTTCGACCCAGAGCGGGGCAGGCGCGAACATGAAAACACGTGTGCCAACTTCCTGCCAGGGCGGAGGAAGCGTGAACACGCGCGGGTACCTTTCGCGCCCGCGTGGACACACGTGGGTCCAGAGAGCGGCGCAAGCGTGGCAGCACGTGGGTCCGCTTTCGCCCCAGAACGGAACGAGCGTGAGAACACGTGGGCCCGCTTTCGCCCCAGAGCGGAGCAAGCGTCAAGGCACGTGGCGCTTTCTCGCCGCAGGGGGGGGGCCTCCCAGGAGGCCGCAGGAAGCCCCGCCATGGCCTCAAGACGGAACGTGGCCTTTATTGCACACCTGGCGTCGGTTCGTGAATTTGGTCTGGCACTCGTGACCGAAAAAAATATCCCAGCAAAGCAACCTAATAGCGATGTGTATAAGCATATCTGGAAGTATTCCCCTTACGAGTCAGGTGAGAATCCAGTTGTAGAATTCTGCTGTTCTCGCAGTCGCAGTCGCAGTCGCAATGACAGTCGCAGTGGCAACGGCCTTAGGATCCAATGGAATCCTAAGGATTCCGAGGGATTCCTTAGGCATCCTTGGGCATCCTTAGGAAACCTTAGGAATCCTTAGGAATCCTGATTCCTAGGGATTCGTATGGATTCCGAAGGGTTCCTGAGGAATCCTAAGGATTCCTAAGGATTCCTGAGGATGCTTAACTATGCCTACGGATTCCTAAGGATTCCTGTGGATTCCTACGGATTCCTCTGGATTCCTACGGATGCCTCAGCCTGGCTAAGTTTCAGCCTCAGCCTCAGCCTGCCTCGGCTTGCTTCAGCCTCAGCCTCAGCCTGCCTCGGCCTCAGCCTGCGTCAGCCTCAGCCTCAGCCTGCCTCAGCCTCAGCCTGCCTCAGCCTCAGCCTCAGCCTCAGCCTCAGCCTCAGCCTCAGCCTCAGCCTGCCTCGGCCTCAGCCTGCCTCGGCCTCAGCCTGCCTCAGCCTCCCCTCCCCCCCCCTCCCCCCCCATTCAGCCTCACCGTGTCTCAGCTTCGGCCTGCCTCGGCCTCATCCTCAGCCTCAGCCTCAGCTCAGCCTCAGCCTGTCTCGGCCTGAGCCTGCCTCGGCCTCAGCCTCAGCCTCAGCCTCAGCCTCAGCCTCAGCCTCAGCCTGCCTCAGCGCATCAGCCTCAGCCTCGCCTCAGCCTCAGCCTGCCTCGCCTCTTGCCTCGCCTCAGCCCTCAGCCTGGCCTCAGCCTCAGCCTCCTCAGCCTCAGCCTGCCTCAGCCTCAGCCTCAGCCTCAGCCTGCCTCAGCATCAGCCTGCCTCAGCCTCAGCCTCAGCCTGCCTCAGCCTCAGCCTCAGCCTGCAGCCTCAGCCTCAGGCCTCAGCCTCGGCCTCAGCCTCAGCCTGCCTCAGCCTCAGCCTGCATCAGCGTCAGCCTCAGCCTCAGCCTGCCTCAGCCTCTCAGCCTGCCTCAGCCTCAGCCTCAGCCTCAGCCTCGTCAGCCTCAGCCTCAGCCTCAGCCTCAGCCTGCCTCAGCCTCAGCCTGCCTCAGCCTCAGCCTCAGCCTCAGCCTCAGCCTCAGCTGCCTCGGCGTGCCTCAGCCTCAGCCTCAGCCTGCCTCGGCCTCAGCCTGCCTCAGCCTCAGCCTGCCTCAGCTCGGGCATTCAAAATATGGCACAGGATGCGTGTTCTGGGAACACGAAGATCACGAAGCCGCCCACAGTTGGCTCCCTGCATTCAAAATATTGCACAGGAATGGTGTTCTGGGAAGACGAAGAACACGAAGTGGCCTACAGTTGGCACCGGGCATTCAAAATGTGGCCTGGGAATAATGTTCTGGGAACACGAAGAACACGAAGTGGCCTACAGTTGGCTCCGGGCATTCAAAATGAGGCCTGGGAGTAGTGTTCTGGGAACACGAAGAAAACGAAGTGGCCTACAGTTGGCTCTGGCCATTCAAAATGTGGCCTGGGAATGGTGTTCTGGGAGCACCAAGAACACGAAGTGGCCTACAGTTGGCTCCGGGCATTCAAATGTGGCCTGGGAATGGTGTTCTGGTGGCTCCGGGCAGTCAAAATGTGGCCTGGGATAAGGTTTTGGAGAGTCCCCGGTTTCCCGGGGGTTTCCCGGGGCACCCTGTCCGGATCCCGCCCAAACCCCCCTGGGGAATCAGAATGCTCTGCTTTGACCCTACTAGAAACCTATCAGTCTTCGCTGTTAGGTAAAAGATCTTGGGGGCCAAACGGCCACATGTCAGATGCACCCCCTGGTTGGCTCGGACACATGAAAACGCGTGGGCCCCTTTCGCCCCAGAGCGGAACAAGCATGGAAACACGGGGGGGGCCCTTTCGCTCCAGAGCGAAGAAGCGGAGCGTGAAAACACGTAGGTCCCTTTCGCCCCTGAGCAGAACAAGCGTGAAAACACGTGGGCGTCTGTTGACCCAGAGCGGGGCAAGCGTGAAGACACGTGTGCCCCTTGAGCGCCAGAGCGGAAGATGCGTGAATACACGTGGGCCCCTTTCGCCCAAGAGCGGAACAAGCGTGAGAACACGTGGGTCCCTTTCGCGGCAGAGCGGAAGAAAACGACAACAAGCGTACCTGGAAGCGTGAAAACAAACGCCTCGGTCGAGACATCGTCAACAAATCCTCATGCTAGACATCCACCTGCGCAACCTGGACGCGTGAAACTAAGCGCCTCGCTCGAGATATCCTCCGGACCTCGGCGCGTGAAAGCAAGCATCTCGCCTGAGACATCCTCTGAATTCTGGCCCCCAGGAGAGGAGCATTCTAGAAGACAAAACAAACGTGTGTTCTCGAGACATCTTCAACAAGTTCTGCAAAACAAACGCTTCGCTCCATACATCAACAACAAACGAAAATGTGTATTTCATCATTTGATGTATCCATCGAGATTTCAAAAACCAGCGTTTCGCTAGGGACATCCTCAACGTTTTAATTCGCCAGTCCTACGCGACCCCATTATTCATCTCAGAATAATGTCGCTGGCCCTACGCAAGTCGAGGCCGGGGGGGAACAGCTAAAAGAGAACCCTGGGCCCAGGCCTTTTCCAGGAGCATGATCGACCCAAGAAACTGGACAGGAATATGGAAATGTGAGGCATGGTAACGTTTTCTTCAGACCCCTGACTGGGCGACGGACAATCGCAACGCTGAGTGTACCGAGCTTGATGTACCGTGCCAAGGGCTGTGCTGTGCTGTGCCGTGTTGAATTGCGATTTGCCATGCCGCGATTGTGTTCTCTAACGTTGTGGTTCGAATCCTCCTTGATATCCGAGTCCTGACCGAACTGATATGAATCTTAAGCTCGAGCTGCCTGAGCACGTTGAAGTCGGGACGTTCATTCAACTTGAGCTTCAAGACCGACTCAACGCCCCACAGGGACGACACGACCCAGGGCACAGGCTCCCAGATGCGCCACAGAATGTGGGGATGCGCCAGGGGGCGTGCAAGGGGACGTATTAGGAGACGTGCCAAGGCGCGTGGCATGGGGCAGGCCATGGGGCGGGCCAGAGAACATCATGCCAGGGGACGTGGTAAGGGGCGCACCACGGAACGGGCAGGGGAAACGCCTTAGGACGAGCCAGGAAACCCGAGGACGAGCCATGGAATGTGCCACGCCGAGGGGCGTGGTAGAGGACGTGCCAGGGCAAGTCATGCCAGAACGGCGCAAACGACGCGCCGTCGAAACGGGGACGCCCCACAGAAGGGTGGGGTTGGGCTTCGACGCGCTCTACTGCGACAAGCGTTTCGCTCGAGACATCAGCAAAAAGTCCGAATGCTACACATCCGCCTGGGCGACCTGGACACGTGACAACCAAGTGTGTCGCTCGAGACATCCTCAAGAAATCCTGATGTTTGACATCCACCTGGGCGACCTGGGCAAGTGGAGACAACCGTTTCGATCGAGACATCCCCAACACATCTTTATGTTAGACATCCACCTGGGCGACTTGGGCACGTGAAAACAATCGTTTCGCCCAAGACATCCTCAACACATCCTCATGCTAGACATCCGCCAAGGCGACCTGAACACGTGAAAATAAGCGTCTCGCCCGAGACACCCACTACACAACCTCATGCATGAAGGGACCGCACCGAACCGAGAACCGAGAACCGTGACCGAACCGGACCGAACCGGTCCAAAACCAGGAACGTAGAAAACCGAACCGGACCGAACCGAATTCATTCAGAACCGAACCGGCGAGGACCGAACCGAACCATAACCGGAACCGAACCGGAACCGGGCGGCCCCTGAACCGAACCGACGGGAACCGAACCGAACCCCTTTCCCCTCTGGTCCGGACCCCAGGACCCCGATGACCCCCAGGACTCCGGGACCCCGATGACCCCAGAACCTCCTGAAGATTCCCACGACCCCTCCTCCTCTTCCTCCTTCTCCTCCTCCTCCTCCTCCTCCTCCTCCGCTCCTCCTCCTCCTCCCCCTCCTCCTCCTCCTCCTCCTCGTCCTCCTCCTCCTCCTCCTCCTCCTCCTCCTCTCCCTCCTCGTCCTCCTCCTCTCTCCTCCTCCTCCTCCTCCTCCTTCCTCCTCCTCCTCCACCCCTCCCCCCCCCCTCCCTTTCTCCCTCCCCCTCCTCCTCCTCCTCCTCCTCCTCCTTCTCCTCCTCCCCCCGGGGTCCTTGGCAAAGACCCGGGGGCCCCGGGGCCCCATGGCCCCAGGGCCCGGGACCCCGGGACCCAAGGACCCCCGGGACCCCGTTGGAGTCCGCCGAATCCAGCACCTGGCTGGCGGGCGCGCGCAACGACGACGACGACGACGACGACGACGACGACGACGACGACGACGACGACGACGACGACGACGACGACGACGACGACGACGACGACGACGACGACGACGGTCCGCTCAAAATCGGTCCCAGAACCTTTCCTCTTGGAATCTATTCCAGCCTGGTGTCAGCAGGTGTGCCCTGTCGGGCCCCCGAAGCCCCCGCGGGGGGCAAAAGCAGGAAAACCAAACAAAAAACACCTTCGGACCGACGACGACCGACGACGGCGGCGGCGTCGGCGGGCGCGGGCGTCGGCAAGCGTCCGTCGTCGTCGTCGTCGTCGCCGTCGTCGTCGGGGGGCCGCGGGGGAGCCCCGGGGGGGCCCCTGGCGACCCTCCTGGCAGCCCCCCTGGCGACCCCCCTGGCGACCCGCGACGGCGACGGCGACGGCGGCGGCGACGGCGGCGGCGGCGGCGGCGACAGCGACAGCGACTTCGACCCCCCTGGCGGGTGCAACCCCCCTGGCGGGCGCGACCCCCCTGGCGGGCGCGACCCCCCTGGCGGGTGCAACCCCCCTGGCGGGTGCAACCCCCCTGGCGGGCGCGACCCCCCTGGCGGGCGCAACCCCCCTGGCGGGCGCAACCCCCCTGGCGGGTGCGACCCCCCTGGCGGGCGCAACCCCCCTGGTGCGACCCCCCTGGCGGGTGCAACCCCCCTGGCGGGTGCAACCCCCCTGGCGGGCGCAACCCCCCTGGCGGGTGCAACCCCCCTGGCGGGTGCAACCCCCCTGGCGGGCGCAACCCCCCTGGCGGGTGCAACCCCCCTGGCGGGTGCAACCCCCCTGGCGGGTGCAACCCCCCTGGCGGGTGCAACCCCCCTGGCGGGTGCAACCCCCCTGGCGGGTGCAACCCCCCTGGCGGGTGCAACCCCCCTGGCGGGTGCAACCCCCCTGGCGGGCGCGACCCCCCTGGCGGGTGCAACCCCCCTGGCGGGTGCAACCCCCCTGGCGGGCGCAACCCCCCTGGCGGGCGCAACCCCCCTGGCGGGTGCAACCCCCCTGGCGGGCGCAACCCCCCTGGCGGGTGCAACCCCCCATGGCGGGCGCAATCCCCCTGGCGGGCGCAACCCCCTCTGGCGGGTGCAACCCCCCTGGCTGGTGCAACCCTCCTGGCGGGTGCAACCCCCCTGGCGGGTGCAACCCCCCTGGCGGGCGCAACCCCCCTGGCGGGCGCAACCCCCCTGGCGGGTGCAACCCCCCTGGCGGGTGCAACCCCCCTCGCGGGCGCGACCCCCCTCGGGGCTGCGACCCCCCTGCGGTGCAGGCCCCCTGGCGGGAGCGACCCCCCCTGGCGGGCGCAACCCCCTCTGGCGGGCGCAACCCCCTGGCGGGAGGTGCGACCCCACCTGGCGGGTGCAACCCCCCTGGCGGGCGCCAACCCCCCCTGGCGGGCGCAACCCCCGGCGGGTGCACCCCCCCCTGGCGGGCGCAACCCCCCTGGCGGGTGCAACCCCCCTGGCGGGTGCAACCCCCCTGGCGGGCGCAACCCCCCTGGCGGGTGCACCCCCCCTGGCGGGCGCAACCCCCCTGGCGGGCGCAACCCCCCTGGCGGGTGCAACCCCCCTGGCGGGCGCAACCCCCCTGGCGGGCGCAACCCCCCTGGCGGGTGCAACCCCCCTGGCGGGTGCAACCCCCCTGGCGGGCGCAACCCCCCTGAGCCTGGCGGGTGCAACCCCCCTCGCGGGTGCAACCCCCCTCGCGGGTGCAACCCCCCTGGCGGGTGCAACCCCCCTCGCGGGTGCAACCCCCCTGGCGGGTGCAACCCCCCTGCGGGTGCGAACCCCCTTGGCGGGTGCAACCCCCCTGGCGGGCGCAACCCCCCTGGCGGGCGCAACCCCCCTGGCGGGTGCAACCCCCCTGGCGGGCGCAACCCCCCTGGCGGGTGCAACCCCCCTGGCGGGCGCAACCCCCCTGGCGGGCGCAACCCCCCTGGCGGGTGCGACCCCCCTGGCGGGTGCAACCCCCCTGGCGGGTGCAACCCCCCTGGCGGGCTGCAAACCCCCCTGGCGGGTGCAACCCCCCTGGCGGGTGCAACCCCCCTGGCGGGTGCAACCCCCCTCGCGGGTGCAACCCCCCTGGCGGGTGCAACCCCCCTGGCGGGTGCAACCCCCCTGGCGGGTGCAACCCCCCTGGCGGGTGCAACCCCCCTGGCGGGCGCAACCCCCCTGGCGGGCGCAACCCCCCTGGCGGGCGCAACCCCCCTGGCGGGTGCAACCCCCCTGGCGGGTGCAACCCCCCTGGCGGGTGCAACCCCCCTCGCGGGCGCGACCCCCCTCGGGGCTGCGACCCCCCTCGGGGCTGCGACCCCCCTCGGGGCTGCGACCCCCGTCGGGGCACGTCGCTGGAGGGCCTCGCGCCTCCACGCCTCCACGTTTCTCCTCCTCCTCCTCCTCCTTCTCCTCCTCGTCGTCCTCCTCCTCCCTCCTCCGCCTCCGCCTCCGCCTCCTCCCCCTCCTCCTCCTCCTCCTCCTCCTCCCTCCTCCTCCTCCTCCTCCTCCTCCTCCTCCTCCCTTTTTTTCAAACTGGGTCGTCGCTTACGCAGACGGGGCGCCCAACGTCGCACCTGACCAGTCGGGCCGAACCGAACCGGAGCGGCCACTCGAACCGAACCGAACCGGTCGGACCCAACCGCGCGAAAACCGGAACCGAACCGAACCGGCGGCAGGCCCAAGCCGAACCGGCCGAAACCGGACCGATGCCAAACCGAACCGGCCAAGCAAAACCGACCCGGCTGCAGATCCGGACCGAACCGAACCGAGCCGATCCCTTCATGGCTTTGCGTGTTGGTACATGTAACCAATCGCACACATGTTTATGGACATGAACATGCATACATACAAACACATAGACAGAAAACCGTATGTGCCTGAAATGCACGTGCAAGCCTCGCCACGGAAAAGGTTTAGAACTCCAATAGCTAGGGCCGACATGTCAACACCCCGACCTTGATCGCCACTAGGGAGGGCCATCCATTCAGAGAAACGAAAGAACGCACCAAAACAAGTTCTGTCAAAAAGTGTGCCCTTGCCTGTTCTGACAGCCGGGGGGGCCGCCGATGTTCCGAAGGGTATTCGAACAACTTCGGCGGGGAGCTGACGACGCCCAACCGCGATGCCACTGGGGCCCCTGTTTCCAGAAGGCCTCTGGCAGAAGGCCCTGCGTGAACATGCTCGGGGGGAAATAGCGACGGCTGCATTTCTGTTGCAGCTTACCCCGCCGCTGCCAGAATTGCGCTCGCTTGCGCCTCTTGGTTAAGAGGTCAGAAATTGCCGCGCGCGCCCCTGGGCGCGATGTGTCTCGAATGCGCGGGGATACTTTTACCCGGTGCTCTGCGGGACAGCGACGCGGCATTCGCCGCGCGGTTCCCCGAGGCCCAATGCCCTCAAGATGCGCCTGCGCGCTCTCCCAATACGCGGACCAGCTGTCTTGCCCGACCAACTGGGTCGACGCGACTACAACGGGACGCGCGCTCGCACGTTTCACTCGGACAGTTGCGCGACCGCCCAGAGCCAGGCGCACGAACGCCAGCTCCATGGCGCCCCAGGTCAGACACTCGGCTCCAAGCGTCTGCTGGCTCACATGAATGGTCTGCCTTACATCAGAATGCAAGTTGTCGTGCGCCTGCTCGTTCCGTGTCGTACAAGTAGCTAGCAATGCGTTGGCGTCAGTCGCCGGTCGAAAACGGTACCTCACATTGCTGAAGTGCCATTCAACCTCACTCGGTCGACACGACGCCACCAGCTGCTCGCGAACTGCGACCTAGCCACAATTGGCGTCCAGGCGGCCAGTGTAAACGGCCACGAAGTTCGCGAGCAGCCTGCAAAACTCCAGTCGAGACCGCAGTGGCGCGTTGGGGCCCACGGACTTGAGCACGCGCGCAGCCGCGGCTGGCTGCAAATCGCCCTGTCCGATATGCCCAATGTGGGCGCGCTCGGCCGCCGTCGGCCGCGGCGCCCCGCCGCCGTCGAAAAGGCCCTCCTGAGATTGGGGCGAATCGGGGTGGCTGACCTTGCCCGTGATCGAACGCAGGACCAGGCCCGCGATGGTCGGGCGCATTCGGCGCCGCTTGAGGAAATGCCGATCTGCCGCGAAGCAAAAGTGCACTGGGCCCAGCGAAATGCCCGCCAAATTCGGGAACACTTCCCGCGCGGATGCGACCAGATGGTGACTCGCCACGTCCGCCGCCGTGTGCTCGATCCTTCGGACGTTGCCAAATGCGCCCATGGTACGCGGTGTCCCCAGGACTCCTGACGAGGCCAGCATGGCCTCCAGAACACCCCACACGAGGCCCCGAGCGCCCCGCGAAACCCGCCCTGGCACGACAAGCCGGGGCCACCCTGGCCAGGGACACCCTTGGCAAGTTCCGAGTCCTGTGGCGGAGCGCAGCCGGCACAGCGCGCTCCGCCGCGCCCTCGGACGGAGGCGGGGCCCCCCCGCGCCATGGCTCCAGGCCGAGTACCTCGCCGTAGACGCCGAGAACGGTTGAGACGTCGCGCATATCGGAGCTGGCGCAGCCGCTGGTCTTCACGGCAACCTCGCGCGCCGCATCAACCGACAGGGGCCGAAGCCCGCCGAGGCCAGCCCCCTTAACTTCAAGGCCATCAAAGAAGCTGCGCGCGGCGTTGGATTCCATGATATCCAGCGCCAAGGCGCTCATCGTCTGCGAACGCCTGTTCGCCGGCGCGGTAACCTCGCGCTCGCGCGACAAACTTGGAGGGTGCAAGAGGGGGTCTGCAACAGGGGGTCTTCAATGGGGGCTGAATGGCCCACGTATGCTCAATGCATCGTTCATGCATGTGATCGGGTACGATTGGCATCCAATGTTGGCGGCCATTGAGGGCCATACGTTCGTGCCCGCGCGTTGCCCGCGCGGGCGCACGCGCCGTCCATCCATTATCATTCATGCGTGCGGGCGTTCTTGCACATATTGCGCGTGGGGCGGCGAAGTGGAGTGCAAGTGTGTCTTGATTGTGCGATTGATGATCGCGTATGTTCCCAAACGATGACGTCTCGACCCCCCAGACAGATTTGGAATGGATCCCGCGCTTCTCCCAAAAAGTGAACTCACATGTTCCATTTCCCAAAATGTGAATTCACATGTTCCTTTCCCCAAAATGTGAATTCACATCCTGGCCCCGCCATAAAGAATCCTACGCAAAATTCCAAAATGTGAATTCACATTTTCCCTTTCCCCCAGAATGTGAATTCACATTTCCCTTTTTCCCAAAATCTGAATTCACATTTTGCTTTCCCCACAATGTGAATTCACATTTTGCCTTGGCCTTCAAGATCCCCAACAGAGAGGCGCAGTGTTCCACATGTCAGATTGGCTGGGCAGATTTCAACCCTCACCTGACCGCTTTCGTTTGTTCCAGCCTTTTTCTTTTTGCGCCCTCGGCGCACGTTGCCTTCGTCGCCTTTCCCGAGCCCCCCGCCCCCTTGCTTCCTTTCCTCTCAAGTCTCGCGCGTGGGCGCAGGCGGGGGGCTTCAATTGGTCCCCCCGCCGAACACAGCAATCGAGGATGCATCGCCCATTCATGGCCCATGAAGACATCATTGCCGGGACCCTGCGCCCAACCCCCACTTTCACCCTCCAACAAACAAGCGGCGCACGCTGCCCGAATGGCCTCGCCGTGGACGCCGCCAGCGCCGAGGGGCTGCCGCGCGCTTGCGCGCGATCGCGAAGTGCGCGGCGCAATAGCGCCCGCCGAACCGCCTGCGCTCCTCCAGGCGGGGGTCGTTCCGCAGCCGAATGGCCGGTCTCTCGGCTGTCGTCGCCGGCGCCGTGCAGCCGTCGAAATTCCCCGGTATCAAATGCAAAAGAACGGTCGCCTGGCAGAGCCGCGAAACTGGCCCACTGGACCATGAGTTTCCTTGCCCGCGACCCATGCGCGCAGCGCTCATGAGACGCAGCCGCGAAGTCGTGGTCGCGCAGGGCGCGGGCGACAGCGGTGGGCGCTTGACGCGTCGCCTGCTTCTGGTCGTCGGTCATGGGCGCGGGCAAGCAAGCAAGACAGCTCGACCGTCGCGCGGGACGGCGCGCGATCGCGAGCCCGGCCCTTCCTCTTGAAGATGCGCGCGCAAAGAGGCACTCGAGACAGTTCTCCCCGTCGCCGAGGTCGTCGCTCGCGCGCCTCTCTGCCCACGACGCGGCCTCCTCCTCCAGCATCTGCGCCGGCCCATCGTGCCGACGGCGCTGCGCTGACGCCGCGGCTGGCCGCTTCGCGGCCGCCCGCGCTGCGGCGGGCGCCCTCGTCGCCTGCCCTCTGGCGATCGCCGCCTCCGCAGCCGCCTGCTTGCCGACGGTGAGCCGGGCAGGGCGGGTCGCTGCCGTTCGCCGCAACCCCGCGGCGATGGCAATAGACGCCGCGGGCCGCGCTGGCGCAGGGCCAAGAGGGGCCCGGGGCGGGCGAGCTGGGGCCCGCGCGGCGATGACGAGGCGCCTCGGGTGCCCATGGAATAATTTAACCCCGAAGCCCCCCCCCCCCCGGGGCGGCTCGACGCGGCCCAAAAAATAATCGAAGGCGGTCATCAGACAGCTCAAGACGGCACCAAAACAAACGCATGAGCGCCCCTAAACGTCCGGAGATTGCCTGGAAGGGCACATGAGCACGCGGGAAGGGACGATGACATCTGCACTCGTCCGCGCCCAAAGCGCCCCCCGATTTGTTTTTGAGCGGTTTGCATGCCACCCCTGGGTGCAATCGATTCCTGCGACGAACGCTGCAGATAGCGCTGGTGGGCTCACTTATCTATGCGCGCGCCGATTGCAGCCTCCGAGACAACCAGAGGCCGCGGCCTCCACCCTCTACCGCCGCCGACTTCACTCCAGAGCGAGCGCGACCACCCTCTCGACCAAGTCCTCCACGTCGTCGACCATGCCCGCCACGTCGCGCCCCATCGTCATCGCCCAGACCCCTGAACTGCTGGATCGGTGCCCGCGCAGAGGCGCTTCATCCCGGCCTCCGTCAGCGTCGCGCGGAGGCGCCGCGAGTCCTCAGCGACGCGCGTCGCGGCCGCGCGCAGCGACCAGACCTTGAACCGCGTGCGAGCGACGTCGCGCCTGACGGGCGGGAAGGGGTCGCAGCCGAGACCCACCCACGACCATGCGGTCACGCAGCCAGAGTCCGACGTGATGCGGCAGCACCTGGGAGACGCGCGCCAAAGGCCCCGTCCGATCCCTCCCCTCACCACCGCTGCGCGCCGCCGCCGCCGCCGCGACCGCCGCCGCGACCGCCGCCGCGACCGCTGCCGCGCGCGCGAATCGTCGCGAGTCGAAATCAAGATCGCGTGGCACCAGGGAAGAATCGCAGTGGTCAGTGAGCGCATGATTACCCCTGGGCGCAGGATCGTTGTCGGCGCCTGCGAGCGCGGGGTAAGGGGCGACGTCGTGGCGGGGGTGGGTGCTGGGGTTGCTCGGCTGGAAGAACGCTGCGACTGTGCGTGGGATGTCCACGGGGACCATGCGACATTCCACTGGGGCGCGCCGCGTTGCGAGCTGGTCGGATCTACCCGACAGCATGCCCGATGCTCGATGGCGCGGGCCTCGCCGCCCGACCAGCCCAGCGCGTCGACTCAGCGGGTCGCGTGTCGTGAGAGAGATTCGCCTTCTCGCCGGGAAAATGGAAATCGCGTCTGCCGATCGGGCGCGCAGATCGCGCACGGTGGCCGCCGATCGCCCCGGCTGCAAAGGGATGCCCGCTCGCGAGCGCAGGGGGCGCCGGGTTCCTCTCGAAAAGGTATTCGCCTGCGCCGCATGGGGAGCTTGGCGCCCCGATCAGATGACCCCGGAGACCTCGCGGAGTCTCGCGGCGCCCTGAGAGACAGCAGGGGGCCCCCATGGGATCCTTCCGCGGGGAAATTGGAGCCTCCGCGGCGCCCGCCTAAGGCCTTGGAAGAGCCCCGACGAGGGGCCCAAAGAAAGTGCCCATACAACCCCCGGAGATCTCTTCATTGACTTCCCTCTTCTCTGGGGGGCTAGGCGAATTCGCCGGATCCGGGAAACCGCAAGTATACGCCGCGTAGCTCGCGCTCTGCTCCACCTGCAACTGGAGCAGCTGGACCTCCCCAAACGCACGCGCGGCCATCGTGGAGAAAGCGGAGAAAGCTGGCGATGCTGGCAGTTGCGGGACGGGTTCGGAATGCGCGCGCGAATCCTGAGCCCAGACGCCCGCAGTACGCGTGCGATTACAGACGTCGGGCCCGAGAGACAGGAGGGGGGGGCAAGCATCTGACATCCCCAGCGGAGGGGCAAGATTTGGGAGCCCTGGGGGGCCCAGGACTGACCGAGATGTCTCGAAGAGATCCCGGGATGCAACCCGCGAGCGCCCAGGAGGCACCTGCGACGAGGCGGGGGCGGGCGCGGCGAAGGTGAGCGATGGCGACGTCGTCACTGCTGACGATCTGACCCCGACTGGGCACCCGCAGGCAGGCGAGGGCGTCGCTAATGCAAGCGCTCGTAGCTCCCGATATCAATTTCAAAAGGGACATCGCGCGCCAATTGCTCTGCCGACTACAACGCCCCGCTGAATCGGGCCCCCTGCCAACCGCCGCGACCGCCGGCGCCCTGGCCCCGACTGGCTGCCGCGCTCGGGCCGCGCCGCACGCCTGCCGGGGCCGCTTCTTGCCGCCGCGAATCTCGACCTGCTTCTGGAAGACAGCGGCGCCCAACTGCTCCCATGTCATGTGCGCGTAAAAGTGTACATCCCCCTTGAACTCCACGCTGGGCCCGCCATCTGAAATTGCTCCGGACACGCGCGCCAGGGCGCCCATGTCGGCGTCGCAGCGCCCGAGCTTCGGGGGGCGCGCTTCTGCCCCTCCACCGAACACGCGCACCAACATCTTCCCGATATCGAGGCCCTTGGCCCGCTGGCCGGTCATGAGCCATGGGCCCCGCTGGCAGACGCCATCGAGACCTCTCGACCCCCTCGGTCGCCAGCAAAAACGCGCAGATGTGTTGCCGCGCGCGCGGCGGGCAATCTCCGTGTCTGGCATGCTCTTCACAACCGTCACGTTGTCAAGCTTATTTCCGTCGCGGGTGGATATTCGCGCATTTGCATTGTCCTCAACGGCTAAGCGTTCTCCAGAGTCTTCACTGAACGCGTCGAGGAAGCCCGCCGACTTGAATGCGCGCCTCACGCGTGAATCCGCGATGGCCCGCGGCATTCCCTTGCACGCGAACTCCACGTGACTCCACGGCATGTCCGAAAGAGAAACGCACTCGGCGATCATGCCAAACTTCCATGGCCCGACGCCGCATCCAGCCCGCTGGTCTGTGTCGTTCGCGTCGCGAGCGGTCTTGGCCATGATGTTGTAGTAGACCGAATATGAGGCCCCTCGCGCTCTCTGAATGGACGATCTCGCGACGCGGGCCCTACGAAGCGCAGTGCTCGACCAGCGCGGCCGCCCTCGAGCCCGGATCGGCCTCGACGGGGGTCGCGATGTCGCGCCGCAGGAGGAGGGGCCGTTGAGGCACGTGGCGCCCCCGCGCCAACTTCACGCGCGCGCGCCTCCACCGAGTCTGGGAGCGCGCGGAGCACGCGCGCTGCGGCGGTGCCCCCCCGCGACTGCGCGCCGCGCCATGCTCGGCACTGCGCGAGCCGACGCGACCCAGACTCGGCCCCTGCCCACGTGCACTGTGATGGTAGCCCCCCCGACTACCCCACTGCGCCGCGGACTTCGCCTCCCCTGGCCGAGCCACCTCAGTGCTCTCCAAGGCCCAACCGCGCGCGACCTCGCGGTCGCTGCGGGGGCGGCTGCCCCCCCGCGACCTGGCCGCTCAGCGGCCGTCGCAGCCCTGACACCTCGAGGCGCAAGTCCCGCCAAGAGACCAACCATAGGGCAACCGTCCGCTCGAGCAGAAGGACTGCCACCAGGAGGCCCTGACGCGCATCTTTTGGGCCAGGGGGGGGGGGGCTGCGGCCAGGGCGCCCGCCGACCCCGCGCCGGCAGCGCTGGATCGGTCACCGATTCCGTCTAGCGCAAGTGCCCGACGCCGATGGGCCCCGCGAGGTCTGCAGTAGCTCGCGCTGGCCCGACTTGCCTGTCACGGAGGACTACGCGGAGCGTCGCGAGGATGTTGCCCAGCTCCTTCCTGCGACGGTCAGCCATCCGCTGACGTTTCCCGTGGTCGGCCTTCAAGGACCTGTCGAGGTAGGCCTCCCGCCCCCCCGCAGCCTGACTCCAAACGCTGGCGCACGGGTCCACGATGATGGAGGCCAGCGGCCGCCCAGGGCACCAGCTCTGCAGGATGCCTGAGGGGGCGCCCCCCACCTAGCAGCATCGCGCCGAGGAGGGCCTCGCACTGCTCCTGCAAGCTGGCCTCGTCGGTCGCTTGGAGGGCGTCGCCGTGAAACCAGTGGGCGGTCCAGTCGCGAAGGTCGTGGCGCATGTCCTGGTAGTCGCGCGCGGACTGGCCCCGCTCTGGCGCGACGGGCGGCGGGGGCCCCATGTCTGTGGGGGTCAACGACGGCCATGCCTCCGCTCCTCTGCTGCCGCCTCCTCGATCTGCTGGGCCTTTGCCTGCCCGTGCCGGCGGCGGCGGCGTCCGCCGCGCGCGCCATCGCCACGGCGTTCCCCTCGGTCGGCAGGGCGACGGGGATCGCGTTGAGGACCACGATGAGGGCAGGGCGGCCCCTGCCCGCATGGCTGCACAACGGCCGTCACAAGCGCGACACCTCGAGGCGCAAGCCCCGCCAGGGACCCGTCTTCAGGGCAACCGTCCGCTTGCGCAGAAGGACTGTCACTAGGAGGTTCCGATTTGACGGCGTGTGGGGGGGGCGGCGGGACCGCTCGCCGTCTCGACGGGAGCGCCGTAATGTTCCTTTCAGGGCCCGCCGCTGCTGGAGACCGCCCACGCTGATAGGGCTGCTGGCCCGTGATCCCACTGCTGCTGGTGGCGCCGGGGAGGTGCTGGATCTTCGAGCGAGCGCTGGTCTGCAGGCGCTTGGGGGGGGGGGCACGCTGGGCGCGGCAAGTGTTGGCGCGGTAGGCCGGGCTGGGGCCCCGCGCTCGCTGCACTCGCGCTGGTGGGGCGCTGCTGGGGGGAGCCTCGCCAGTGCTGGCCGTCTCGCACTACGGGGTGGCGGCCCCCGAATGTGGTCAGGCAAGGAAAGCCTGGGGCCGCAGGGGGCCGCGGCCGCCCTTGCCTGCCCTCCTGCCTGGCTGGCCTGCCTGGGCGGTGGCTGGCGGTCTGGCCGCCCGCGCTTGTGGGGGCCCGCCCCTCGGGCCGCCATGCCCGCCGACGGGCCTGAAGTGGTGTTTCTGGTCACGGCCGCACCTGGGGCGGACGCTGCCCTTCTGCGCATGGCGCCAGGGAAGGGGGTGGGCCTCCCAATGTCCTGAGGCTTGGCGCGGGATGGTCTGGCCGCGCAGGAGGTTGACGACTGCGGTGAGCTGGCCGTCTTTGGTGTTGAGGGGGACCTGGTCTGGCGGAGGTGGTAGCAACGGGTCAGGAGGGGCCAGCGCGCCCGAGATCACGAGGGTGAGCGTGGCACAGGTGCGGCTGGCCTGCTCGATACAGATTTCGGGCCACTGGACACTTTCAAATGTAACTGAACTGCGATTTTGTTCTAAGTTTCCACGGGCTGGGAATTCCCGAACCCAAGCAACCATGAATTCCGAACCTCCAAATGGCCAGATTTTCTGAATGTTTACAAATGTCACACATGTCGAGCCGCCTAATATATATATATATATATATATATATATATATATATATAATATATATATATATATATATATTTTTTTTTTTTTTTTTTTTTTTTTTTTTTTTTTTTTTTTTTTTTTTTTTTTTTTTTTTTTTTTTTTTTTTTTTTAAAAAAAAAAAAAAAAAAAAAAAAAAAAAACAAAAAAAAAAAAAAAAAAAAAAAAAAAAAAAAAAAAAAAAAAAACGGCGACGTACACAACCCCCGCGCAAACGCGGGGCGCAAATAGTTAAGGACACTCTATAAATGGGGCGATGGCGGAGCGAGGGGTACATATGTCTGCAGACGGAATTCGGGAGACTCGCAGGACACTGGCTACAGGACAAGGACTAGATAAAGCTGATTAGTTACAATCCCTGGGCAACCCTAGCCACATCGAAAGCGGGGATTTCAGATCGCAGCCCCCCAAGGATGGCGAGGTCTACTCTGGGTCCGCGCGTGGCGTCACTGTGCTGGGCCCCCCAGCAGGCCTCGAACGTGGCGACAGTTTCACACATCGCACCCCCCAGGGATGGCGAGGTCTAATTTGGGTCCGCGCGTGGCGTCACTGTGCTGGGCCCCCCAGCAGGCCTCGAAAGTGGCGACAGTTTCACACATCGCAGCCCCCCAGGGATGGCGAGGTCTAATTTGGGTCCGCCGTGGCGTCACTGTGCTGGGCCCCCCAGCAGGCCTCGAAAGTGGCGACAGTTTCACAGATCGCAGCCCCCCAGGGATGGCGAGGTCTAATTTGAATCCGCCCGTGGCGTCACTGTGCTGGGCCCCCCAGCAGGCCTCGAAAGTGGCGACAGTTTCACAGATCGCAGCCCCCCAGGGATGGCGAGGTCTATTTGAATCTGCCCGTGGCGTCACTGTGCTGGGCCCCCCAGCAGGCCTCGAAAGTGGCGACAGTTTCACAGATCGCAGCCCCCCAGGGATGGCGAGGTCTAATTTGAATTGCGCGTGGCGTCACTGTGCTGGGCCCCCCAGCAGGCCTCGAAAGTGGCGACAGTTTCACAGATCGCAGCCCCCCAGGGATGGCGAGGTCTAATTTGTTTCACTGTGCTGGGCCCCCCAGCAGGCCTCGAAAGTGGCGACAGTTTCACAGATCGCAGCCCCCCAGGGATGGCGAGGTCTAATTTGAGTCCGCCCGTGGCGTCACTGTGCTGGGCCCCCCAGCAGGCCTCGAAAGTGGCGACAGTTTCACAGATCGCAGCCCCCCAGGGATGAGGTCGAGGTGGCGAGGTCGAATTTGAGTCCGCGCGTGGCGTCACTGTGCTTGGCCCCCCAGCAGGCCTCGAAAGTGGCGACAGTTTCACACATCGCAGCCCCCAGGGATGGCGAGGTCGAATTTGAATATGCCCGTGGCGTCACTGTGCTGGGCCCCCCAGCAGGCCTCGAAAGTGGATACAGTTTCACACATCGCAGCCCCCCCAAGGATGGCGAGGTCTAATTTGGGTCCGCGCGTGGCGTCACTGTGCTGGGCCCCCCAGCAAACCTCGAACGTGGCGACAGTTTCACAGATCGCAGCCCCCCAGGGATGGCGAGGTCTAATTGGGTCCGCGCGTGGCGTCACTGTGCTGGGCCCCCCAGCAGGCATCGAACGTGGCGACAGTTTCACAGATCGCAGCCCCCCAGGGATGGCGAGGTCTAATTTGAGTCTGCCCGTGGCGTCACTGTGCTGGGCCCCCCACCAGGCCTCGAAAGTGGCGACGGTTTCACACATCGCAGCCCCCCAGGGATGGCGAGGTCCAATTTGAGTCCGCGCGTGGCGTCACTGTGCTGGGCCCCCCAGCAGGCCTCGAAAGTGGCGACAGTTTCCCGGATCGCAGCCCCCCAGGGATGGCGAGGTCTACTTTGAGTCTGCCCGTGGCGTCACTGTGCTGGGCCCCCCAGCAGGCCTCGAAAGTGGCGACGGTTTCACAAATCACAGCCCCCCGCAAGCAAGACAGGAGAAGGCAAGAGGGAGGCGGGACGGGAAGGAGGGAGTGGCGACCACACTGCTCTATTCAAAACGAATACCCAACTAAGGAGGGCTGGGGGAAATACCCTGTGACGTACCCAACCAAGTTGTATCAATGGAGACGAGGACTTGGCCGAAACTTGTATAGACAATCAACTTGACGTGTACGCTACTTGGGAGGCGTCACTGTGCTGGGCCCCGCCAGCAGGCCTCGAAAGTGGCGACAGTTTCACAGATCGCAGCCCCCCAGGGATGGCGAGGTCTAATTTGAATCTGCGTGTGGCATCACTGTGCTGGGCCCCCCAGCAGGCCGCGACAGTGGCGACAGTTTCACAGATCGCAGCCCCCCATGGATGGCGAGGTCTAACTTGAATCCGCCGTGGGTGCCCACTGTGCTGGGCCACCCAGCAGGCCTCGAAAGTGGCGTCAGTTTCACAGATCGCAGCCCCCCAGCGATGGCGAGGTCACATTTGAGTCCACCGCGGGTGCAGACTGTGCTGGGCCCCGCCAGCAGGTCTCGAAAGTGGCGGCAGTTTCGCAGATCGCAGCCCCCCAGGGACGGCGAGGTCCCATTTGAGTCCGCCGCGGGTACCCACTGTGGTGGGCCCCCCAGCAGCCCTCGAAAGTGGTGACAGCTTCGCAGGTCGCAGCCCCCCAGGGATGGCGATGTCCAATTTGAGTCCGCCGTGTGTACCCACTGTGCTAGGCCCCCCCAGCAGCCCTCGAAAGTGGCGACAGTTTCGCAAATCGCAACCCCCCAGGGACGGCGAGGTCCCATTTGAATCCGCCGCGGGTGCAGACTGTGCGGGGCCCCCCAGCAGGCCTCGAAAGTGGCGACAGTTTCGCAGATCGCAGCCCCCCAGGGATGGCGGGGTCACATTTGGGTCCGCCGCGGGTGCAGACTGTGCTTGGCCCCCCAGCAGGCCTCGAAAATGGCGACAATTTCACGGATCGCAGCCCCCCAGCGATGGCGAGGTCACATTTGAGTCCGCCGCGGGTGCAGACTGTGCTGGGGCCCCCAGCAGGCCTCGAAAACGGCAGTTTCACAAATCGCAGCCCCCCAGGGATGGCGAGGTCACATTTGAGTCCGCCGCGGGTGCAGACTGTGCTGGGCCCCCCAGCAGGCATCGAAAGTGGCGACAGTTTCACAGATCGCAGCCCCCCAGGGATGGCGAGGTCGAATTTGAATCCGCCGCGGGCGCAAACTGTGCTGGGCAGGCCCCGAAAGTGGCGACAATTTCACGGATCGCAGCCCCCCAGCGATGGCGAGGTCACATTTGAGTCCGCCGCGGGTGCAGACTGTGCTGGGGCCAGCCAGCAGGCCTCGAAAGTGGCGACAGTTTCGCAGAGCGCAGCCCCCCAGGGATGGCGAGGTCCCATTTGAGTCCGCCGCGGGCGCAGACTGTGCTGGGCCCCCAAGCAGCCCTCGAAAGTGGCGACGGTTTCACACATCGCAGCCCCCCAGGGATGGCGAGATCCAATTTGAGTCCGCGCGTGGCGTCACTGTGCTGGGCCCCCCAGCAGGCCTCGAAAGTGGCGACAGTTTCCCGGATCGCAGCCCCCCAGCGATGGCGAGGTCTAGTCTGAGTCCCCGTAAGACGTCACTGTGCTGGGCCCCCCAGCAGCCCTCGAAAGTGGCGACAGTTTCACAGATCGCAGCCCCCCAGGGATGGAGAGGTCTAATCTGGGTCCCCTCAAGACGTCACTGTGCTGGGCCCCCCAGCAGCCCTCGAAAGTGGCGACAGTTTCACAGATCGCAGCCCCCCAGGGATGGCGAGGTCTAATCTGAGTCCCCGTAAGACGTCACTCCGCTGCCCCCCCCAGCAGCCCTCAAAAGTGGCGACAGTTTCACAGATCGCAGCCCCACAGCGATGGCGAGGTCTAATCTGAGTCCCCGTAAGACGTCACTGTGCTGGTCCCCCCAGCAGCCCTCGAACGTGGCGACAGTTTCACACATCGGGAGAAGGGAGGAGGAGGAGAAGGAGGAGGAGGGGAGACGCGACCGCAGTGCTCTATTCAAAACGAGTACCCAACGCAGGAGGGTTGGGACAAACCGCATATTTCCAGGGGCAGGGGGATCCGAACTCCAGGCAACCAGAAACTCCGAAAACTCAAAACCATCAGGAATTCGAACTTGACCAACATATCAAGCCGTCATAAACCTTTGACAAGTTCCCAAACGGTTCAAACTTTTTCTGAATCTCCAGGAGCCAGGGAATCCGAAACCCATGCAACCAGGACACCCAAAAACTCCAAACCACCAGGAATTTGAAATGTTCAAGAATTTATAGGAGTTCGTACGACAAACGAAACCATTTGGACATTTCGAAGATGTGTTGCTTTTGTTTGTGAAATTTCAAAGACTCTGAAAGGACCAAGGGGATCCGAAACCTTGGCGACCAGGAACCCCGAAAACCGCAAGAGGGGCATGACAATGAGGAGGGTGGGAGATGAGGAAGAGGAGGAGGACGGGTGGGTGCGGCGCGCCGCCGTGTCCCCACCCCCTGTCCGGTACGTGGTTGTGGTCGCCCGTACCCCCCCCTCCCCCCCACCCCCCCCCCTCCCCCCCCCCCCTCCACTCCCACGCCCGTCTGCCCTCCTGGATGCATCGCTCATGGCTTGGAAGCCGCCTCCCCCATCCCCTCCTGCTGCTTCGGCGCTCTCCCATTGTGTCAGGTGTCGCCGAAGCGAGCCCGGCCTCGCCCAACGTGGCCGCGTCGACGGAGGGCCCGGCGCCTCGCAGCGAGTGCCGGGGGCCCAGAATCCCACCCTCGCACGCCAGGCTCCTGTCGTGACTGCACAAGCGTTGGTTTTGAAACCGCGTGGGAAACGTTCAACCCTTGAACACTCGGCGGCTTTACGATCGCCAGATCGCTGTTGTTGTTGTTGTTGTTGTTGTTGTTGTTGTTGTTGTTGTTGTTGTTGTTGTTGTTGTTGTTGTGTGTGTGTCATTGTTTGTTCTCCGATGCACTCTCCACGCCCCCATTCCCTTCCACTCTCCCTTCCTACGGCTTCGCTCCACGAGACAACTTTTGGGTCTGAAATATATCACGTTCGCGTCTGGGCAGGCCGCGCAGACATAATGCCAAGCGCTGTGTGTTGATCCCGATGCGGGCAGAACATCGGCACACGTCTGGTCCTATAACAACAAAACAAGCTTCAGCTTCAGGGAGGTGCGCGCTTCTCTCGTCCGTCAAATAGCACCCTCGTCGCAGGGAAAGCCACGCACTTGAGCATGGTGCTCATTCCTCCTCATCGCTCCCTTATCCGCCTCTCCCTTCTTCCCCATCTCATGCTTTCCCGACCCAATCCACACTGTGCAAACAAGTCCTTCGCCGATTGTGCAGCAAGCGACGTGACAAGTACGATGACTGCCATTTGAGAAAGTAATCGCGCAGCGGATGCAAGCATGTGCAACGCAATGAGAGTGGTTGGATGGGAGGGGTTGGATGTCAGATGTGGCCAGGGTGACCTTTCTTTGCCACTCGCCGCGTCCCTTCACCTTCTATGTTTGATCGAACACTCATTGAGACTGCTAATCCTCCTCCTCCTCCTCCTCCTCCTCCTCCTCGCCTCCTCCTCCTCCTCCTCCTCCTCTCAGGGTGCGTATCGGGCCATGATGCCTACACTCCCACTCGTCAGGCTGGGCAAGCATTGTCCAACATGTGTTCCTTTTGCAAGGGCGCTGCCAACACGCTCAGCCCTCCCCCCCCCCCCTGGGCCGGCGGTGGTCGCGGCACCCGGGAGGCGCCACGACGTGATAACCTGGCCACCGACGGCAGGAGCACACACAACGGTACACACCGCATTGCGTGTGTCTGGTGCCCTGCCGGACCTGTCCGGAGCCGCCCTGCGCCGTCACGCGCGGACCAGCTTGGACGGCGCGTCCAAGGCCAGCTTAGGGAGCACCACCCTGATCCTCCTCCCACTTCTCCCTCCCCTCGTTTCCCTCTCCACCTCCCCCGTGGTCGCCTCCTCCTCCAGCTCCACCTTGCCCACCCGCTGCCTCCTCCTCCTCACTCCTGCCTATCCACCCCCGTCTCATTCCCTCCTCCTCCTCCTCCTCCTCCTCCTCCTCCTCCTCCTCCTCCTCCTCCTCCTCCTGTCTACCTCACAAGCTGCTTGGCTTCGTGCCTCTCCTCCCCTCCGCTCGGCAGGGCACGCCTGCGGGGTCCGCCCACGGGATCGGCGCGCCCGCAGCGTCGTAGCCGTGGAGGGCGCATATTTGGCGCAGGTCCTGGCAGGGGCCGCGGCAGCTGGCCATCCTCGGGCGCCGACGGCCGGGCACCGGGCGACACCTCGGCTGACCCGCCAAATTCCGCAGGGCGAGGAGGGAGAGCCCCCAGGTGGAAGCACTGCTTGGTGAATGGTGCCTGGGCCAGGCTTCTGCAAGGTCGCACGCTGTCGTGCTACATCAGCTTGTGCGTGTGCTCGTGTCGTGGCTGCCTGGCCTGGATATGTGCTCGTCGTGTTCGCCCTCAGCCCTGAGATTGGTGGGACCACCATAAGGATTCCCCCCAACTTGTCCTGTTTCTGCTTTGGTATTGCCCTGTAGTGGTCTGGAGGGAGAGGAGGAGGAGGAGTAGCAGGAGGAGGAGGCTACCCACAGCGATCCCGAGACCCGAGCTGGCCACTCTGACGGAGGCACGCCTCCCCGACATCCACCGTGAGCACGCCTGGCGAGTCTGGCCACAGCGGCGGAGGGGCGACCGAGGAAGTCCAGCATCATCCCGCCACTGCTGCCCTGAGCAAAACTCCGTGGTCCCCAGGAGCACGTGGCTGCGACCATCAGGGCCAGGCAGAGCTCAGGGGGCGTGGGGGCGAGGGGCAGGGAGGCATGTGCGCGCACGCTCGCTCAAGTGCTTGTGCTGGAAGCCGATGCCGCCGCTGTGACGCACACTGCCCACCGTCCACCTCATGCCGCCGAGAGCGCACGCTGACCACCGTCCACCTCATGTCCCGCTGCCCCCGCTGCCCCTGCGGCTGCCCTATCCGCCTGCCGCTCCCGTTCCCGCTGCGGCCCCCGCCTCTCCCCGCTCTCCCCGCAGCAAGCCACCTTCCACTCCCTCTCTTGCCGATGGCGGCCCGTGGCTATGCTGAGACTCGGGTGATGGGGTCGGGAGGGCGGGTGGGAAGGAGCGAGACGGCCGTCCTTCGGCGGGAGGGTAGCTAGACCCTCCCACGATCCCCCCCCCAACATGCCGATGCTCCCCGCCCGGACCACTCCAGGGATGCGCATTGTTGCCAGAACTCTTCGAGGCTCACGACTAAGGCCTTCCAGGGAGGAGCAAGGATACAGACAAGCGCCTCCATTCCCCCGGCTCCGCCCGCCCCCCGCCCCTCCTCCACCGCTCCTCCCTGTGGGGGAGGCCCACGGAAAGACGTCCAGCGCGTCGTCGACGGCAGCGCCGCACTCCCACTCGTCCGGCTCCAGGGCCGCGGAGGCGAGGCCGCGCTTGCGGGCCTTCCCCCGAGCTCGGGGGCCGCCCGCCCTGCCTCCCGCGCGGCTCTCCCCGCAGACCTCCAGCGCCCTGGGAGCCAAACCGAATCGGAATCGAATCGAGCCGGAGGAGACGACACGAGCCTGTCATGTAACTGACTCCAATAATGTCCACGTTTCACCACTACTTCCGCCTGTATACGCCGAGCTTCCGCGGCCCCAAGAGACCCTTAAGAGGCCCAAAAGAGGCACCCAAAGGGCCCCCGAGAGGTTGCAAAACGCCTCACGCGTTGGCTTCATCATTCTTCTGGGGATCGGCGGAATGACTGATGCCTCTCGAATAATGTCGGTGCTTCGCTAATCCTTCTTCCCAGATGCATGAAGCGCGATGGCACAGGCCTGTTAATGACGTTGTGAAGCTGTGAGAAGCTCACACGTTGATCACGTTACCAAAAGCTCCCATATCAAGCCCACGGCTTCTTCCAAAGCGGTGGCATCGGCAATCAAGGAAGAGACTGGTATGCGATAATTCGTCCCGCCATGCTTCACCGCTACTCCCGCCCGTCTCCGCCGAGGCATCCGCCCGCGAGAGCCGCCGCCGTTCTGGCTGGCAGGCCTCCCGAAGGGAGGCCTGTGCGCGGAACGCGAGAGGCCCCTCCATGAGCGCGCAGGGCGCGCCGTACACGGCCTTCCAGAGGTCAACGACCCCATAGACAACGACTTTGATACATTCCCTTTCCTTGCAAGTAGCTCCTCCCTGTCGCACCCCGAGGCTGGTCGAGAGGGCGGGCCGGGCGTTTCGCCTGAGTTTTCTCCACTAGTTCTAATCCTGAAGCCTGAAAATTGCAGCAGCTTCTCAGATGGAGGACGGCTCACTGTCAAAATGCAGCTCTCGCCTTCGCGACGCGCACACTCGTCGTAAACATTTGCACAGACCTTCAAGGATGGAGGGCGACTCTGTTTCAAGATGCGGCTCTGGTCTCAGCGCGGCCCACATTCGTCTTAAAAGTTTGCAAGAGCTTTGCGGGTGGAGGGCGGCCGGTCCTCAACATAGGGCTCTCGCCTTAGCGCCGCGCACATTCGTCTTCAACATGTGCAAAGAGCTTCAAGGATGGAGGGCGACTCTGTGTCAAAATGTGGTTCTGGCCTTCGCGCGGCGCACATTCGCCGTAAGAGCTTGCAAGAACTTCACGGATGCATGGCGGCCAGTCTTCAAAATGGAGCTTTCGCCTCAGCGCCGCGCACATTCGTCATACTTTTAAGTTTACAAAAGCCTCACGGATGGAGGGCGGTTCCTTTTTGAAATGTGCCTCTCGCCTGTTCGTCTTAATAGTTTACAAGAGTTTCATCGATGAAGAGGAAGCTCGGAGGGAGGGTGTATTGCAATATCGTTGACGAGTCTTGGGTTTGCACTGGTCCTCCTCCTCCTCGTCCTGAGCATGGTTTATCCGACCCCTATCCCCATGGGCGTGGCCTGGGCCCAACTGGCCGAGTCACCCCCGTACCATGGAGATTAGGCCGCTCCCTGAGGGTTTCGAAGGGTATATCCCCAACTGAGGTGCTGGGATGGTGGGGGTCTGGACGGTGATGGAAATACAGGAGAGGGATCGTGAAACGATACTGAGCTCAGGTGCCCATAGACGAGGACTTTGACAATCTCAGACCTTGGCGCGCCCGAGAAAACTCTGAAAATCAAAGACCTTGTGCTCTCCGGCCGGGATGCTCACGGGCCTGGTTTTTGCAACGTCCTGGGTTCAGGGGCCCTGAGTGGAGGGGGCCTCCAGAGGCAGCTGGGATCCTTCGCCCTCCCTGCCTCTCACGACTACGAGGACGACGACGGCGGCGGCGGCGAAGGCCGTCCTCGTCACTCGTCATCGTACCGTCTTGTCTCGTCCTGCTGAATCTGGCCGCGTCCTGCTTTGGCTGGCGTCTTGGGGAGATCTTGGGGCCCTGGGGGGATCTCTAAGTTGAAGGGGCCCCAGGACACACAAACAAATACACACAAATAAACAGATTCCCAATGTTTTCCCATATGTTCTGGGTTTTTGTCTCCCCCCCCACTTCCCATATTTTCCCATATTTTCCTGGGAGTCGACGATCAATTGTGTCTGTGTGTTTTTTGTCCCCTCTTGATAAGTATACACAGGGTCGCCCGGTCGGCACAGGGGCTCGGTGCACAGACGTCCCGGCTGGGGGAGCGTCTACGCACCGCACTCCGCCGCCGAGCGCACTGCCCTCCGGGCCGCCCAGACGACATAGAGCATACACGGAGCCTCCACGAGGACCTGAAGACTATACTTGTGTTTGTGTGTGTGTGTGCGTGTGTGTGCGTGTGTGTGTGTTGTATGTGTGCGCGTGGTTTTTGGGTAGTCTCAAGTGTCTGTTTAGTCGCGTTGTGTATTCGGTCGTGTCACAAGACTGGTGGCCCAACGTCAAGGACACCTGCGACGGTCATTGAAAAACGTATCAAGTCCAACGGGAAACTGAATATGCTTATGACCCGCTCAAACAAACAAAAAACCCCTCGCGAAAGAAATTACCCCTTCCTCCTCCACCCCTGCCTTTCGCTCCCTCTTCCCGGCTGGTCTGCCGAGACCACCGCCGCGAGCCCGGCGGCGCCTGCCGGCGCAGCACCCGCTCCTCCAGCGTGCCGTGGGCCGCCAGGCGGTACACGAAGACGCGACGGCGCTGGCCCTGGCGCCACACCCGCGCCGCGGCCTGCTGGTCGACCTGCACTGCGCGGGGACCGCCCCTCTCGCCGCCCGATTTTGTCTCTCCCGACCTCGTCGGAATCAAGCGGACCGTTTTCGGGTCCCCCGGAGGCTTCCAGGGCTGACCCTCGCAATCTGACGGGAGGCAAGTGTGTGGACTGTCTTGGGCATCCCGAGGTTCTCCCGACATGCAAGGAATAAAATGTGTGGACCGTTTTCGGTCGCCCGGAGGACGCCAGGCGCCAGATTTGCTTCGCAAACTCGGCGTCTGGAGGTCATTCCCAGGCCCCGCGAGTGACTGACACAGAAGCGACAGGGGATGCAAACCCAGTCCCAGGGAAGGGGTCGAAAGGTCCGGGGGTCCAGAGCACGAGCAATCACGACGTCGGATGGACGATGAACAAGGCCGTCCACGACGATAAACATTCGAACACCGACCGAGAACGACAGGCAGCAAACATCCCAGAAGGGCGCAACGAGGAAATAAACCGACACGACCTCCGACATAATCGAACCGACCGAATGCAACCGACTGCGACGCAACCCAACTGATCAAACCGCGGCCCCCCTTGATGAATACGAGGCGAGGCGAGTCGCCGACGTATGTCCAGAAGGACAGCCCTATGAGAGCACGACGACTGAGCCGTAGCCCAGGATACACTTTCGTTCCCCGTATGGTTCTTTCGCGGGAAAGCGCGCAGAGAAAGAGCGAGGGCGACGATGACGACGACGCCGATGAAGAAGAGCAATAACTGATCACCAAATGACCAGCTGATCACCAAATGTCGCAGGTGTCCTCGCGCAAAGCGCCGCGAGGCACGAATCGCGCTGATCCCCGCGCCGGCAAGCAGGCCAGAAGACCAGAGGACACGACTGGGGTCGTGGGATTCGGGGCGGAGGGGGGAAGACCGAGAAGGTGAGGAGGGAAGCGGAAGAGCGAGAAGGATGGGATGATGGCGATCAGCGTGTTGTCCCTACCCCTGCTCTCGCCAGAACTCCACGAGGGGTCGAGTGAGGGTATGGAGAAGAGGCCGGCCTCTGGAGGCTAAGCGCTTTGTCCGTGCCCTGCTCCCCCCCCTGGCAGCCACGCCTCGGGGCTGCAAGGGTATGGCTCGGACGTCGACCCCCGAGGATGAGGGATGCTCGCCATCGCTCGGACGTCCATTCCCCCGGTGCGTCTGGCGGCTTCGTGCGCGCATTTTGCTTCGCCGCAAGATGACCCCCAAAAGGGCTCCTCGATGGTCCGCGCCGAGAACGAAGGCACACGTCCGAGCGATGCCAAGAATGAGGTGGGGTGGGGGGAGACGGAGGGGGGGAGGCCGGGGGAATGAGAGAGAGAAGGGGGAGGCGGGGCAGGCAGAGGGGGGCCGAGGAGCGGAAAAGGGGCGAGAAGGACGGCGCGAGGCAGAGGAGGAGGAGGCGGCGAGGGAGAAAGAAGGGGCGGGGGAGGCGAGGAGGGGCGGGGAAGGGGGAGGAGAAGCGAGGAGGGGCATGGCCATTGCCCCTCCCATGCCGCATGGGCGGCGAACGGGGAGGAGGATCGGGACGATGCGTACCCCACGGGGTCGGAAGAAGCAGGTAGAAACGTGAAGTAGGACGTCGTTGAAAGCAGATTGAGTTCCGTCGGTCGTTGAAGCGGGAAGGCGCTGAAAGTATACATATCGGAATATGGGAATCCAACAAATACGTACTTTCAACGACCGATCAGTACGAGGACCACAAGGGAGAGCAGAGGGGGGCAGGGAGGAACCCAAGGAGCGCCCGCGCTAACGTCGCCGTCGCGTCGAGGCGTTACCCGCCGCCCATCATGGCGGCACCTTCCCCAGTCATTCCGACGCTGTGGCCGAGAGGGAGGGGGGCGTGGAGGTCGGGAGAGGGGAGTTGAGCCGAGCCGCCTCTACGGCGAGGGTGCGTTGCAATGGTAGGCAGGGTTGAGTGGTCCACTTCTCGGGGGCAAGCCTTACGTGCTCAACCATGGGCCTTGTTCCCCGTCCTCCTCGGGCGGCCTTCGGTCTTCGGCGCCACAGCTGGGTGGTTGCGTTTAGCAAGGGGTACATGGCAAAGGCGGGCTACGTGGGGAACCAAAACGATGTGTGCTGTGTTCCAGAGTTGATGCTGAAACTTGGTGTATCCATGGGTCCAGGCGCTGGACACGGGGCATCGAGGGTCCTGTTGGTTTGTCCGTGTACGGCTCTCAGCAGAAAAGTGGTGAGAGCATTGCTGTCATGCTGATTGCGCTCTTATAGCGCTGGAGGTAATGGCTCGCACTCGTTCAGTATTATTATGTTCAGGTCGGACATACACCCCATACAGGCGGTTCTTCAACCCAAATAGATATTTTAAGGTCACAAATGCTAAACCATGTTCAAAATAATCAAACACTGTCCCCAGTTGTTTGACTATGTTTGAATGTCCCCCCCCCTGTAGAGGGACATCCCCCCACCTTAATATGATGTGATTGACGCGTCGAAATCCCAATAACACGATGCCAAGGTTCTCCTTCGTGCACTCTGCCTCGCCGTTCCTGCTTCTGCACATGGGGTGACCGCGGGGTTCCAGTCGGGCTCCAGGAGCACCAGGCGGCTTGCGCCGACGATGTTTAGCCCCACCTGACTGCGGCTCGAGAGCGTGGCCACCGCTCTCCTCGTGTTCCTTCTTGACGTCATCCTTCGTCCTTGTCTCCTTCTCTGCTTCCCCCATCGCTACCGCCTCTATTATCACTCAGGCGCCTCCTCCTCCTCCGCTTCGATCCTGTGGTCCTCAACGTCGGCTTCGTCCCCCTTTGCTTCCGATATGCTCCTTCTCTTCCACCTCCTGCTGCTCCTCCATCGTCCCTCCTGGTGACCAGAATGCGAATCCAACCGCAGCGATGTGTGCCACCCAAAAGCCACGCCCAAAAACAAACACGCGGAAAGTGAACACACAAGCTGTGTTACTCTCCTCTGCACGCTCATCCTCCTCATCCGCCTCCTTCTCTGAACACGCAAATCCACTCAGCATCGGTCCACCGACCCCGCCCATTGCCCATTCCGGCCAATGTTTCGAGCAGCGTCCAGCCATGGTGACGAGAACCTCCAGAGACGACAGCACATCTTCGAAACAACGACGTCGACACCATCGCCCCTCGTCCCTCCTGCCCTGGCCCTTTCCCGCCCCCATCCTCCCGTGCGTTTGGGCAAAAGCTCCCTTGTCTAACGTCTACTCGCGATGATACAACGCACGTTGCCAGAGCCACCCCCCCATCTCCCCTCCCCCCGATAGCGTCACACTTCGCACTGGCGCTGTCTGGAAATGGCTACACGAACCTGGTTCCCAGACAACGCCAGCGCAAATGGTGACGCCTCTGGCCCCTTCCCTCCCTCCAAGTAATGATTCTTGACTGGCAGGACAACAAGATACCGTTTCTCCACTCGGTGTTTCACAGATGGGGTCCTGAGGGACGGGGTCCTAATAAAGAAGACGAGGTGCTCAAATAACGAACATTTCCCTTTGGATCCTTTCCTATTCTTAGGCCCCCATCCCTCAGGACCCCATCCTGGAGCCACCGATCTACGAACCTCTCCCAGGGTAGGCTCTGACTAGAATTTCTAGCGAATCCAGCCGTGGTAAGGAGGGCCGCCCAGGAGCCCCAGAAAGGGGTAGCGGTACATCGTCCTCCTCTGCTTCACGCAGGACGACGGGAGTAAGGCTCTAAGTTTCCAAGGTTCGCTCGCCCCATGGCCGCCCCGCCGGCCCGGGAGGACAGCAGCATGACGCGGCAGCCCCGCCCCGCGTTGAAGGCCGAGACGAGCTCCAACCGCGACCTCGGCCCGTCCGCGTCCTCGTTGTGATCATCCTAGCCCTCGTCGTCGTCGTCGCCGTCCTAGCCCTCTTGGTCGTGGCGATCGTCGTCCGCCCGTCTCCCTCCCGCCTCCTCCCTCTTCGTCCCTCCTCCCCCCCTTCCTCTCCTCTCCACCCTCCTCAATCCTTATCCTTCCATCCTCCCTCCTCCTTCCCGCCTCTCCCGCCTCCTTGCCCTCCTCGTCTCGCATTCGTTATTCTGGACCTCCTCTACGCTCCACCCCGATCGCGCTGAGCACAGTCACTCTCTGCTCTGGCCACCCTTCCCTCCCAGCGAAGCTGTGGAGATGGGGCGGTCGCGGAGCAGTACAGGAGATATGGTCGATTTCGGGGTGGGGAGATATGGGGTCGACGTCGGGCGGTAGACGACGACGTCAGGGAGGTCGAGGACACGGATAGGTGCAAAAAGTTCTAGCCAAACTATTGATACAGTGGTGGGACCAGAAGTGAAGCTGAGAGGAGTCGTCCTTTCCAATATCCTGCTCCTCCCCAACACTATGCTCGATCCTGACCTGATTGGGGTAGAGCCCGACAGCATGTCGGCCGGAATGCCCAAGTCCTGGCAGAGGGCCGAACATCGCCTGAGGCAAGTACGGTCAGCAAGCGAGAACAACAAGGCGAGGGATCGAATGCGTAGAGCGAGAGAAATAGTGTGACCTAGAAATGTGCACATGTGTGTATATGCACGTGTAGTACAAACTCAATAAGAGGTGTCGATGACGTAACACGCACGACATATTTATATATATATGGAGAGAGAGAGAGAGATAGAGAGAGATAGCGAGAAGCAGGGGGACAACGACGACGGCTGCACGCATATAACACTAGTAGTACAAGCAAGCGTCCACATGCACATACCTACAAACGCGGAGGCAAATCTCACACATCTGTATGCGTAACCTCAAAGGGTCTTTCATAAACCACTGGGCAATAATGGGAGAATCAACAATTTTTCCGCCGGCTTATTGACGGATTGGGACCCCGACAAAAATTGGAAATTTAGCATTCTCGTCGGCGGATGCATGAGAGGGCATGAGGAGTGCTCAAAAATCCCATTGCTCAACGCCTGGCGGCCTCCTCCTCCTCCTCCTCTTCCTCCTCCTCTCCGACACACCACCGCCACCGCTGCTGCGCGCGCTGGAACACGCACCGCGGAGGCCTGAGATGACATGAGACGGGAGGGGGAGGAGGAGGAGGAGGAGAAGGACGGAGTGGCAGGAGGAGGGAGGGGAAGGAGGAGGAGGGACGAGGTTCTATTCCCCGCCGAGAGCTTAGGGGGGGTGCATCATTAAAGACCCTCTGTGTGTATGGGGTTGAAGTACAAGGGTACAAAACCCCTGATCCGTCGGTAGAGAGAAGGAGGGATAGATGGATATCTTTCCCTCCCGCACGATCAAAGTCTGATCGATCTATCTCAATACCTGAGCCCAAACGGCCAGGCGCAGGAGAGGTAAGGATAAGGAGTACATATGAGGGTATTACACGGGTTCCATTCACACCCCCCGCCCCGAATCCCGCCCGTGAAGGCAGGACTCGGGAACAGAGGAAGGGAATCCGTAACCTCTGAACTCCTTTAGTCCTTAAGTCAGGAGGCAGCTGGGCTTAAAATCAGCGAAGCCACAGCTGCAAAGTGAAGTTAGAAGGAGCACCCTGAGTCCCCCTTTCTTCGCCAGGCACACTTTGGTGCCCCCTCGGTGCGCCCCCCAAAACGCTTCGGCACTCGAGGGCGGAGAAGAATGAGACAAGGGTGGGCGGAGAAAGAAGATCTGAGCGTTAAAGCAACATGCAAACTGCCTCGCTTCTGCGAGGCAGGTGTTGCCACCAGCTATCAGATTATTCTCGACGCAATCAGGTTTAAACTGTTGAAATATGCATGCTGAGATCGTGCTGACGAACACGACCTTGAAATGAAACGCATCTTTGCGTGAAAGCAAATGTCTGGCCAGACAGAATGTCGTGTTGATGAACACGAAAAATCATGTGTATAAATTCTGTTTGGCGACCCCCGTTGGCGCTGCTCCTTTGGAGGCTGCCTCGGTTATCGCAAACGGTACTTGTGTGCGTGGCCACTTGTGTTATATAATGAAGTGGCCTAAAACTATGAAATAGCCACCGCTCAAGGCGAACTTTGGTTATCTTGAAGTTCGTGCCTTTGAGCGGTGGGCATTGCGGCCGACTCGCTACGCGCTGCCGTTCTTGTAGAACCTGCGGTCCCACATCCTCTGGCCGTTGTACGTCGCGTAGCTCGTCGCGAATGTCTCCCAAGCCGTTCTTGGGATCCAGTTGCGAAACCAATCATTGTACGTGATGTCCTGGATGTATACGTACTCATCGTTGTTGATCGCGATGTAGATCCAACAGTTGATGTAGTAACTCCAGTACCTGGGACCCCAGTAGCTGTCCTCGAGGTCATCGCGCCAGTACGCGGCGTAATCTGATGTACGCGCTCTCTTGGCACGCGGCCCCGCGGGCGTGTAGTCCGTCGCTCCTGAGGCGCTGGGCGCAGCAGCATCGCCAGGAGCAGGGCGCGGCGGCGGCCGCGGATGGCGCGGCTCCATGGCATCATCGGACTGGTGGGATTGTGTATCGGGATCGGTTCTCATCCCTGTATCAACCCCCCTCTGGTCGGTATGTGCCGGATCGAGGGAGCCTAACAACTCATTGGCAATCGCGGCAAGCTTACGCTGAGTGAACTGCTCACGGGTTCCATCCCTTCTAGGGAGAGAAACCGTGACCAGTCCGCGGGCCTGCCGCGTCTGCCTGTCGAGGCGCCCCTCGTTCAGCCACCATTTCCTCCGACCAGCCTGTCCTGTCCTAATACTGACGTCGAGGATGTCCCACGCATCGCGCATGTCCTCCACGGTCCAGGGCTTCTTGCCGATGTTCACGCGGGCACCTGTCATTTGGTGGTGGAACTTGAGGTCGTTGAGAAAGCGTTGTACGAGATTGGCGAATGGGTAGTACAGAGGTCGGTCGTCCTCGGATTCGCCCATCAGTCTGCACTCGTGTGCAGGAGGGCTACCTGATTCGACCCACTTCTGATGCCTCTTTCTGGACGCATTGGCCAATCTCCGCAACTGATCTTTCTCATTGCCTGCGTGCGATCGCGCACCCGTCATAATGACGTGCGCACCGTCCTTCATGTATCTCGCGATGTGGTCCTCCGAGAGTGTCGTCTTGATCCAGTTCGTCAGCTTCTGGAGGTACGCGAGATCGCTCTGTGTGGCGGTGCTCTTACCCGTGGCGCCTACGGCCACGGTATACTGCCAACAGATATCACAAAGTGCGCCGTCACCTGTGACAATCCCGAGGGACAGATCTCGACCGCAATTCTCACAGAGCGGTATGGGATGCAAGATCGTCTCGGGGGCCCCTTCCGAAGTGAGGTGATCGCGGGATCCCCAGCGGGTGTCCTGACCGCGAGCGAGGCTCTGGCCGATCTGATTGATCGCCTCACGATTGGTCTCGGTGTTCGGTCGGGAAGCGATTGATCTACTTAAACCCTCGATCTCGATCCTAGACAATCTTTCCCCTGGCAGTCCTTTGTGCTCTATCTTGGTGTTGTCCGTATCCTCGGCACCGCCGTGGCATACGTTCTCCTCGCGAAGACGGCGAGCTTTCTCCTGCAAGGTAGCCTCGTTGTCGCCCTCCTCGCGCTTGAGTCCCGTCTGCTCGGCTAAGATACGTACCATGGTTTCCTGATCGGGAGCTGCAGACGCAACGCTGCCTGGATCCTGGGGAATATCCTGCTCAGCGCCTTGCTCACGAGGCGCAGCAAGTGTTTCCACCAGCTCTTCCCATACAGGAAAGTCTGGATTACCGTATGTCTCAGCACAATGTTTGAATAGGTCACGCAATGCCTGGAGTGCAGGATGTTTCTCATGGATGGCCTCTTTGATGAAATCTGGAAGCTCCGCAATACTATATTTCAAGATGTTCTGGTATACTTTGGAGATCCATTGAAAGATGTCTGTGGTCGACTCCTCGATAGTCTCTGGGTCGAGGTAATGTACCAACTTTGTGAAGAAATGATCTGCACTGCAATTTGGTAAGTCACGTGCCCATTTGTGGGTATGATCGTAGTTCAATTGGTATGACTCTGCATTCCATGATTTCGATCCAAATCGAATCTCAAATTGTAAATGCGACTGTGTTCTGTCCATTACAATTCTGTCTGCGCCACTGTGTATCTCGATGATCTGTTTCATCTTGATCATCGGCGAATCCACCAGCAGCTCCGATGTCCAACAATATACACGGCAATCATCTGACTGTTTAATCCATCTTGAATCCTCGTCGGGGTCGTAATCTGGACGGTTAAGGAAGTCCGATGGCGGGTCAATGATGTTGTCGAGGATGTTTGCCTCAATCTGCTCATCTGCTTGGATGTCTGCCGAGAGATCTGCTCTCATGTTGTCGTTCGCAGCTTTCTCCTCAGCAGTGAGCGTTATGTTCGATATGTCCACGATTACGGTGATCAAAGGATCACGCGATGATGCTGCAGTCTGTCGAGGATTGTCGCCCGTATGAGCGTTGTCCTCGGCAGGTGTGGCCACCAGCTCGTCGGGGTCGGGTGTCCGAGGAGCGGGCCTTCTGGGCGGTGTACGCGGAATACGTGGTCTATGAATGCTCGGCATGCCAAGGTATGGTAAGCTGCCATCAGTCTTGTGCTGGAGTATCTTTTCGCTGCATGATGTCGGACCTTTCAGGACGGTCTCCATATATGTTGGGTCAATGGCGTGTTCTTCGATACGAATCGGTAATGCAAAGACAACGCCCTTGAGGGGCATGCTTTTGTCATTATACCATATGTTTACCCATCGTAAACCGTAGTTGAGAATAGGTACTTGTACCGCGAAGAACTTGTCGAAGATGCCGAAATGGATGGTTGGACCATATATGTGTCCCTTGGTCAAGGCAATCTTGGTATTGTGATTGCCCTTGGGCCAGTGATTGTCGTAATGAAAGCATTTGGTAGAACCCCAATTCTTGACGACAATGAAGTCTCCCATTCGAACATCATTAAATGCAGGACGACGGTCCCAATCTTTTGCATGATCTTCGATGTGATCGGTCGAAGAGCTTCGCGACAGTATGACAAGGCAATTAACCATTCTTTATCATATGCTTTGTGATTGGTCTCCCGAATCATAGCGCGGACTATTTGTTCATCCAAGGCGTCGTCTGCAGATGTACGGCTAGCAGGGGTTTCCCCCAGCTTGACCGAAGGTGCTGACGCTGACGTTGTCCGTGGAGGCTCCATGTTCTGGTCGGGGTCGACAGATGCGATCCCAGGAGGGTCGTCGATGAGCTCTCCAGGAAGGTAGGCGCAAATCTCGTACTTGCTCAATGGCTGTATTGCTGCCAATGGCGGGTAGTCCCATGGGTCGCCATCTGGTCATAACTGCTGGCCATGCATGTGGTGTGGCTTGAGGCGGCGAATTGCAATAATTGCCGCAGCGGGTACCACGTCCTCTGCCATGATAGCGCCCTGAGCACCCAACCAAAATCTGCAACCTGCTTTTGTGGCGATCTCCATGTTGATCACCAGCTCGACCTCGTCCTTGTAGTTATTGAACTT